GTGCAGGAAGCCTGAGTTCAGTCTGAGGTTTTTCCCTGTAAACAGAGTACTTGATGAGATCCTGTCAGCAAGTGGCCGCTAGACTCTTATTATTCATAAAATTTGGGCCCTTGGTCAATCATTGTGAGTCCACCTCAGCGGATAAATCCCTTCTCGGGATTCACAGCAAATGCATCTCTTCTTAGCATCCACAGTTCTTTAAAAATGTAGATTTGGGGACTTTATCCCAGACACATAAAAAGTACTGGGAATCTGTATTTTCAACAAGGTCTCTAGGTGATTTTTCTTTTTCTTCTGCTCCTCCTCCTTTTTCTTTTTTTTTTAACAAAAAAGTTTGAGAAACTTAGCTCTACATTAGGGCAATGTTTCCTAAATATTCCTGATAAAAATTATCAGAATAATACAAATAAATTCTCGGCCCATCCCAGACCCCTTGAAGCAGTTTATAAGGAAGGAATTCCAATTTCTAAAGGAAGAGTGCCCAGGGTGATTCTTATATAGAAAATTTAGAAACAGAGGCAAGTGGCTTTAATTGGCGAAATTTCAGGCATCTAATACCCTATTATAGGAGAGATTATTTGAGATATGGCATGACAGTTAACGACATAATTTTACCTGTAAATCAGTAAGGTCAGATTTGCCTCATACCCATGAGTCAATGTTTGGTCATTAGCATCAGGTTCTAGTTGCTCCCCGGTAGCACTTTTGAAAATCTGCAGATTCATGTTACCATTAAGATACATAAAAGTTCTAATTTTCTAAACATCTAAAATCTTAAAGTAAATGACACTGTGGTGAAAGCCAGGCGTTCAACCGAAAAAGGAATACAACTGCAAATCAAAAACATCCAGTTTACTAAATGTCACTATAAACATCCATCTCAAACCACATTTTAACCAATTCAATTACATCTAATTCCATGCAAAATTATTTCCATGTCCAATTCTTTCTGATATCAAAACTGCATTCCTGACATTAAAAAAAAATTTATTGGAATAAAGAACTATATAATTTTGTTATAAATCCTTGTCCACTTATTAACTAATCTAAGGAAGTGGTGCTTTTAATACAATATTTATAGAACTATATACAAATATACCCTTTAAAATATTTAAAGTGCTATGGACAAAAAAGGGGCTCTGTTATAAATCTAACCAAAAGTGACCTCACAGGGTGATCTGATCACAAATTTCTAACTGGGCAGGTCATGGTGGGCAGCTATAAAAGATTTACTTTTGCCTTAAGCAAGCCCTGTCCATTGTTCTTGTGATTCTAAGTTAATACACCTGTGAAATGCTACAAGTAATCCTCTTTTCCAGAGACCTGGAAGAGTAACCACCCTCAGAGGAACACATAATCTTGTTAACTATACTGTAATCCAATCAGAGATTTCCTTGCCTTTCTTTCTCCCACCTTCACATAATCTTCCTATGTTCTCTCCTTCTCTCCATTCCAAATGTATAAAAGAAACTGCAAAATTGTCATTCTCCAGAGCATTTGAGATCTTGCTTCCTGGCAGGGTGTCAGTTCTGTTCAAATAAGCTCATAAAAATTCTCTACAGGTGTGGAAGTTCTTATGTTGACAGTGCCATGAATTTTTAAAGAAAAACTTCAAAATGTTACATTAGTAATATATGAATTATTATTTTTCATGGTAAGAAAGGATTATTTCTGAAATTAGTCAAATCCATTGGTTCTCAAAGTGTGGCCTTCAGATCATTTACATTAACATCACATCTTTTAAAACTTTTTTTCCCCTTGAGGTAAAGCTTACACATAATAAAACGCATAAATCTAAAGTATAACATTCAATGAGTTCCGACAAATATACACACCTGTGTGATCCAACTCCTATCAATGTATATCACTAGAGAAAGTTTTCATGTGACTCTTCCTCATCAATTCCTTCCCCTCCTCCCAGAGGCAACCAATGTTCTCATTTATTTCACCATAGAACTTTATAATGTATTAACTGAAAATTCTATTGTGTCAATGTTTTACTCAGCTTGCCATTTTTGAAATTCATCCAAATAGTCCTTCTTACTACTATGAATATATATTGTGTGAGTTTAAAACAGTTTCTTTATTCATTTTTCTGTTGTTGAACACCTAGACTGTTTCCTTGTTTGGGCTATTATGAATGAAGCTGCTATCCATGAACGTTCTTACATAAGTCTTTTTGAGGATACAGTCTTTCATTTCTCTTGGGTAAATATCTAGGAGTAGAATTGCTTATCATATACTCTACAGTTCCAATCTAGGTATTAAGCCAAGAGAAATGAAAGACTATATCCACAAAAAGACTTACATAAGAACATTTGTCACACTTTCCCCAGAGTGATAGTACCATTTGCACTCCCAACCTCAATGTAGACTAACTATAAAAAGATTTCTAAGAATGTCATATTTCAAATCTAGTGTTATGGAAATTGATATAAGCAATACTTTTATTAGCACTTTAAAGAATGGGATCCCTGATAACTAAATTCAAATTATACATCTGCTTTCTTTCAGCATACAATTTCAAATTTCTATTTAGTTACCAATCATCCCTAATTTCTCAAATACAAGGAAAATGTGAAGCCACTAAAAATAAGTATAGCATTTATTTAGGAGAAAACTCAGTCTAACTGCTCAGTGGCAAATTGTATTTTCTTCTCACCAAAAAGCAAACTAATAGCAAAGGTTAATTTAAATGGTGTCTTTAAATACAATGCAAAACCTAATTCTTATCATAGAATTTTCAAGTTGAATTAAAATGTCTGAATTGAAATATTTATAGCACATTGCTTAAACATTATTTGTCAGTGGTTTGAGGAAGATCTCGTTTTTGCTGTTGTTTAATGCACTCCTATGTATTTTACAATTATTTAAAATGTTTTATGGAATGGCTACATAGATACGCAGTTTTTAAATGTGTTCTATTTCTTTATATGAACCTTCTTAGTAAATCCTTAGTCCTCTCCAATCAAAATGACTTGCCCCACTGAACTAGAATATAATCCAAAGAAATTATAGCACAACTAATCTTAAATCCCTGGTCTGAGTCACAGCCATTATACTACTAGTCTATTTCACCTCTGTAACAAAAAGACCTCTATTTATTTTGATCACCTTGCTTTAACAGTTTTTCCTTACAATAAAAGTAATATATAACTAGAAAACAAAGGCATGGAGAGAAAATTAAAACTACTCTCAATCACAACACTACAAGAATCCACAAGAATCAATGTTAACACTTTTTGGATTTTCTTGTGGATTTTTTTCTACACACACCTTATTTTTTATAAATGCTAGATCACAAGCAAGGTTATATTCTCCTTTTTACTAAAGGTGAGTATTTCTCCATGTCATTAAATATTCAAAATCATGATTATAGCATTTATGTTTAATATCACATATATATCATCTATCATCTTATTTAGTGCTTTAGGCATCTATGCTCTCTGTATTTTGCTATTGGAGCTACTGTTTGCATTTATCTTCTCCAGCATTTTCAGTTAATAATCCTCTACCCAGAATGTCCTATTACTTGGTCCAACTGTTTCAAGTCATTAAATCTTGACCCGACAGCACTATAGCACAGGGATAGCAGAGGGGTGCTTTTAACACCCAGAGTAATCCTTCTTTGTCTGTGGTTTTAGTAGCAGCTTTCCACCTCAGTGGGAACTTGAGTAGCTGTTTATGAGTGTGCTCTATTGTTTTCTGCTTTGTGTAACTGCTATCAGAAGTTCTCATCTCTTTTACCATCAAAGAAATCTTACATCCTTTAACAATGTCTGTTGGCTCCTTCCTGTCAATATGTCACCATCATGTCTGGCACGACAGTTTTGGAGGCTCGTAATGTCAACCATGGGATACTATGACATATATAAGAATATGAGATAATGAAATCCTGCCACTAGAGCTTTCACTATGAAGTTGAGTCTAACTATATCTCGAGAGAAAAAAAATAAGCCAAAAGTATAATTTTCTGAATACAGTTTAAATTTTTATTTTTAAACTACACAAGTAACTTTATTTTTGAGATATAATTGACACATAACATTATATTAGTTTCAGGTGTACAACATGATTTGATATTTGTACATATCGTGAAATGATCACAATAAATCTA